ATGTTTGGTGTGACGGGGATTCGAACCCGCGACCCTCAAATTGCGAGTCGAGCGCCGTAACCACCTGGCCATGTGCTCGATTGTAGATTTGAGATTACGTTACCGCCAAAAAATAAATTAAAAAAATCTCGTTCTCCACTTTGGAGCCGCGACATTAAAAGAGTGACGGTCAAATATTGTTATTCGGTCTGACAAGCTCTCTCCAATCTATCGCTTTAAAATTATGGGCTAGCTGGCGCAGATAGCCCTAGAGTAGCTTTGCACGAAATTCACCAAACATATAAATCAATAATATCTATTGTTGTCGTGGTTTGTAGCCTCTACGATCACCTAAGTTTAATTCGATCTCAATTGGATCGCACACCAACTTTCTATGTGGTTCGAGTGAATATACATTACATAATTACAAGTATCCGCAAAACTCAGGATCCGAAAAACGTGCGCAGAGTACTAATATGAGCAAAAGAAGACAAATAAATAGATCAAGACAAAAGTAATAAGTATTGATCTATAACTGACTGGCTTATATTCGTACAGTTTGAACTCAAACTGGGTGGTAAGGCGAAGAGAGAGAGAAGACTTCCTACAATATCAAAAATAATGCAAGTCCACACAGGACAAAAATAGAAGAGAGAATCATATAATACCGCATTTTCAAGTCAGACCTGGATCCTAGTGTGGTATCCCACAATCCTTGGATTATCCACGTCAACGAATATTGCAAATAAAATGTACAAGGGTGAGAACTTCCAGCTGTACTAACGTGTAAAAGGCTCTGTGTCATCCCATGAAATGAGTTTATTCCACACCAGGGAGTAGACATAGACACAGGGTTAAGTTGGTACAAACTTCTATGAGATGGTTGTAACCTTTATCTAAGTAAAAGAAATAATGCATGTTTGCCATCTTTGTACACTCTGTTTAAAAGGATCTCATAGTTACATGCATAACACTTGTATGTGAATTCAGAAAAATTACCCGAATAAATCTAAATAAAGACACACTCTAAAATCAGCAGGGAAGAGTTAAATTAGCAGTTATTTCAAATGCGAATAATTTTTTTTTATCAAGAAGACTCAGGATCGAATCCTGGCTACAATCAACACATAAACAGCTCTTCTCAGGTCTTTTCTGAAGACGTCAACTGATGATATAAACTAATTAATAAACAGTACTCAGTAATAGAGCTGTGTTAACTAATTAGTAAATAAACTTAGGTGATCAGATAGGCTACCAACGATTAATATCCATTCTCTACAACCTTACTGTGAGTTCTCAATAATATCTAGTTTATAAAACGATTAGCATGGAAATTATTGCTAAAGAATATGTAAATAGTGAAAGAAATATATATATATATAATTTAATGTTTCCTGATACAACAAAAGGATTTGTAGTTCCCTGGCTTTTCTTTTCAATAGACAAGTAAAATACCCAACTGACAACTAGCGCATTAAATACTTATGGACCCACATGCATCCTCGTTTTAAGGGCTTGTAACGTTAAAATTCTAGGTTCGATCGCTGCGATGGGCACAGAACAGATAGATAATTGCGTAACTTTGAGCTTAACAACAAATAAACTGACAGACCCATCTGTTGGTATGAACTTATAACGCTCTCTAACATGTAAATGAGATTGATCGTTTTTATTTATATCCTCCAAATATTTTACAATTTTCTTTATGAATAACTTGGTAAATGCGAATTAGGAAAAATAGACTATTATATTAGTGTACAAATTGATATTTGTTCAGATCTTCGCGTAAAGTTACTCACAAACTATCTGCGCTAGCCGTCCATAATTTTGATTTGAGAGGCTAGAAATCAACAACACAAACCGCCCATTGTCGGGCTACTCTTTTTCTGACTGAATAGTGAGATTTGACCGTCACCGATGTAAAGCACTTACCTCCAAAGTGCAAAGCATGATTTATTTATTTATTTTAGCTGAAACAGAACTCGAACGTTGGACTTAAAGATCCATAGTCTAGCACGTTAACCAACGGGCCACACTCGGTCCATTAAAATTGATACACATAAAGCTTACGTGAAAACTTATTGTGTATTACAGATAGGCTTACGAATTTCGAAATAAATAAATATATTTTCTTCGTAAAAAACGTTTATTTATGATCTTACAACAATAATTATCCATACGGTGTTACCGGTATTAAGTTAATTATAACAATAATATCAACAATATTTTAAGAGGTGGTTACAAGTATAATTGTATAAACAGTTTACTTATGTGATATAGTTTAAAAGTATGATACGTTTGTTAAGAAAAAAAAAGTTCTTTATTTTGTGTCAATGGGTTTATAACGTTTATAACAAACAAATTTTATCTTGTAATAAATATGGCACATCTATGTCACTGATTAAACCTTTTCACTCTGGAATAGTGAAAACGGATTACTTCTAAATAAAGTTAAATTCACTACGTCTACAATTTGTAATAAAATTCGTGTAAACTGTAAATATTTTTCCTTTTCTACATTCCTCTGAATTTGTGGATTTTGAATTCAGAATGGACAAGTTAAGAAAAATTTTGAAAACTATCTATAGTTTATGTGATTTTTTTTTTACAGAGGTTAATATGTAATATCTAATCGTAACTTCTAAACCAGAATTCATTACTTTATTAAAAGTCAACATTAGTTTAATAGACTTTGAAATATCTTTATTCATTTAATTTTATTTTCAAATTAAATTTCTCGCAAGTCTTGAAGCAAATCAAAGAATCGTTTGTTAACACAAAGATGATAATATAGTGCTTCTTTTTAACGTTTACCATAGCACATACTAGATTGTTTCTGAAATTTTCAATAAACTCTAAATAGAATCAAATCTTTTGCTGGATGCATAAAATTTAAAAAGAAAAATAAACAGTAGAATTGTTTATTTATTTTATGCTATTTGTTGTGTCCACCGCGGGGAATATGGCCCCGGATTTTAGCGTTGTAAAACTGTTAAATTACCGTTGTTCAAAAACAATAGAGAGAAGTACTTTAAAAACTTGACAAATAAGTTTGTCTTTTGTATTAAATAACATAATAGTTTAACTTGTTGTAAAAATAAACGGAACTAAAAACTTACTTATAATAATTATTTTTGTATAAAAAAAAACTCCCAAATTAAAATGCGAGATATTTTGTTATCAGCGCGCCATCAAACGGCCATAGGAAAACTATTTTTGTATGACGTCATGAGATGTCCGCGTCCTTAGTGGTATTGGGTGTTAGTATAATTATCAATTTCAAATAAGAAAATGGATAGTTCGTTAACTTTTCAATTTATTGTTTGATTTATCATGCAATTACAACATACCTTAATGGTTATTTTAAAAGTAAGTGATTTTTTTAAATGCATTGTTACTGAGAAATTACTGTTAATCTAGCCATATTAAGTTAAACTTGGAAAGTTTTATTTGTTTTAAAAATGAAATTATTTTAAATTTAGTCTGAAGTTTCAATGTATTGGATCGATAGTACAAGTTACAACGTACAGATGTCTGGAATTACTATTAGGCTAAATATTATAATTAGACAGTTGTTGCTACGTGTTGCTAGCCTTTTGTATCTAACTGTTACTGTTAGCATACTAATACTCAGTAGTACTAATAGTATTAAACCATTAAGTTTAATCTGTAACATTAACAATTTAAGACCAATATGTTAATTATTACAACGTCAATAAAAATATTTGTATTTATGAGGAAGTCACAAAATGATTAATATTAATTATTTTAATTTAAGTGTAGGATGGCAAAAAGATCAATTCTTATTAAATAAGTTATTGAACATTCAGTCCACTATCTCTATGATGATTAATTTTGATTGAATACCAGAACTTCAAAAGTAAAGTAGAGTTTTCTATTTAATTAAACCACACCCAGCCAAGGATAAATATAATTACGTATATGTAACAATTAATTTAACTTTTAAGGACAATAAAGGACTAGTTGGTCCATCAAGGTAATCCCATTCATTTTTGGTATTAAAATGTAAACTAATCTTTAAAGTAAAAATGAAATACTTGAAGCCAGCCCTTATCATTCCAATAATTATCAAATCTGCCCTTAAAGTTAAACTTAAATTTACTGCATCTACAACATCTGTAGGCAATACATTTTAAAGGCCAGTCACCCTGTTAGAAGAAGAAAACTTAGCTAAAAATGCCCCAACCTTGCTAAAACTTATGTGTCCCTTGTCCTATCATATTACCATTTAAATAAGAAAATCCCAACCAAACATATAACATTGTCTCACCAGAATCTCCCTGTCAGACCACTCATTACTCAGTTTTCTAAGAATTACCATAGTATACATGAGTTCACTTTTCACAATTCATTTCCTTCTGTATTTAACATAAACATGTATATTTATCTATAATAATAAAGACTACATGATTAGTTATATTCCTTCACTTAGCTCAGTTAAATAAACCTTGGAGCTCCCCCACTTTTAATTTGCCTCTTACACCTCTGTTATATATATTAAAGACCATTTTAGTTCATGACAGTTTTAATGTAAATCATTATTTTTTTGTCATTTCGTGTATGTGGCATTCTGTGCTGTAAAATTCTAATGAATAAATGTTTAAACCATGAAATACGTAACTGAATACATATGAAGATCTTAGATCTAGAGCTCAGTGATTATTGGAGTTTACTAATCAATTAATCATCAGGCTTATTGATTACATTCAACTAATTGATTATTCTCACAGGAGACTTGAATAATTGAAATAATCAAAAAGTGTAACAGTTGAAAACTCTGATTTTGATTAATTGATCATTTTTGTGACACTAATCAACTAATTCACCAATTTTTGGGATATTCAAGAATTTAATAGTAATTTCAAATAATTGATTATTTTATATGACAGTAATTGATGTAGTTGATGCTCATAGGTAATCAAGTTAATTGGTTAGCTCTACTTTTATGTAAAATGCAGCATAATCTATTTTCGACAAAATCGAGCTGCCAATAATAATAATTTCTAATTAGAGTAAGTTATGTGTTTCCAGCAAAACTAAAAATCAACCTCGCAATCACTATAGCTAATTAGATGTACTTCTCTAATGTTTCTACTTATATAGATTAGAATCCATTGTTTCAGAAGTTGAGTACTCTTGTGCTGTTAATGGTATTTTCAGCTGTAAACCCTATAATATATCATAAGGTTTGGCCATCTTTCGGAGATTTAGTTTAGTCCTAAATACAAATTCTAAGATAAAAATGCAAAACAATCTATTATATAAATACAATTATAAGTAACAAATGAAAATAAAAAGTCATTACATTCAGTATATTATCTTGTATAACCAATGCTGTTAATGAAAGCATCAATAAATGACATGTATTGTAAAGTTTGACATAGATAATAAAATCTGCAGAACAAAAAAGATTTTCTCAAACTGGCAAAATTTTATATAAATTGTTTTGAATCAAAGCTTTTCATACATACACACATATATATAATTGAAATATGATTAATACTCACATACATCTGGTTTATCCATTTCTACTTTTGTATATGTGTTTTGTGAGAAAGGGTGGATGCAAGTAGATGTTTAAGGCAGACAAGTAGATTTTTCTAGTATCTTGTTCTTTTGAAATTTTTTCATAAGATCCATGCCCCTATTGTTTAACAAAATTGGAATGGCGAGGTTAGAGAATACATCAGTCTCTTCCCAAAAACAATACACCTATATTCATTTAGTCAAAAGTGAAAACATTAGGCCTATTACTCAATACTTATTTTAATCATTTTTTTATTGCAAAACTTTTATAGTTCAAACCCTCTAAAGATGATTGAAGAGAGTAAATGAAGATTATTTATTGTTAATTATTTGTGAATTCATCACTTTGCCAGTAATAAAATCATCACTGTAGACAGCTGAGGTTTTAGCTAGTATCTGTGAATAGCCATTGGGCTTGATTTGTTACAAATCAAACTTATTTTTGCCTACAACAAATATATGTTTAAGATTTTGATATAACAAGATGTGTCTTTTAATTGATGATGTCAATCTAACTCTGACTATGGCAAGTTGGAGTGCAAGGTGATGTTCATGTGAAGGATAAAAATATTTTTGTCCATTGTACAGTTTGCACGTTACATTGGCATAACCTCTTGAACTTTCAAAATGCATATCTACAGTTTTTTCAGTCTAATATAACATAAAATGACAACTAGGGACATTTTGGTCCATCTAGGCCATCCTATCTACTGAATTATAACAAATACTATTAAAAAAAAACACCCTTTATCATTCAAATATTTATTAGCTTTCCCTTAAACTTTTAAATTAACTGCATCTACCACATCTGAAGGCAACCCATTCCAAAGGCCAACCACCCTGTTAGAATACTAAAGCTGTTTTAGCTGAAAAGGACTTTTACCCTGCCAAAATTTATATTTATTTCCTCTAGTTTTACCATTCTTACCATTGAATACAAATAAAAGGTGATGTTTCAACACTGTCAATTTCCTTAACAATCTTAAACACCTTAATCAAATCCCTGTATACTGTATCTGGTTTTCTACCACAAACTGTTTATAAATCAGTAATGTAGGGTAAAATTAATAGTTGATAACTCTGACATCAAATACATAATATCATGTGGAGTGGCACTCTGTAAATGGTTGTGACATTCACACTTTGAAACCAACCTGCACATAAGATTAGAGACACAGAGATTATTTTGTATTTCACAAGTAACAATCAATGCTCAAGTTTGCTCATAAAATTATTAATTCAGAAGCTACAACTTATGCCTCCTGTGTGAAAAGGTTTCCTTGCAAAAGAAACAATAGTAGACAAGACAATCTGAGTTCAAAATTGTATATATATTTTTTATGTTACATCCACTTAAATGTTGCATTTCAATTAATGGTATTCAATTTAAACACTGGAAAATTTTCTTTGGCTAAGTAAAAGGCTTTCTAGAGCTAGGCTACAGTTGAATGTTTGGCAGTAGTATAGGCAATTGCTTTACCTTTATTCATACTCTTTTTGCAGTCTTGGCACCTTTAATACACTTCTTTAACAATAAAAGCATGCTTTAATTAGTTTTGAATTCAGGTATTGACCAAATTAATATCAAATTATTACATCAGCATCTCACATCTACAGTTTCAACAATGAAATTTTAAGGTAAATATTGTAGATCATATAATTTATTACAATTATATATATAGTTACTTCTCCATGTATTCAGTTATTTATATAAGATTTTTACAGAAAATGGCTTTTTCATGCTTTTTGAAGTCATTTGTTTTGATGCTCTTCCCCTTCCCTTCTGTAAACATATTTTACTTGTTCAGAGCATGAAAAAATTTTCAATAATCTTCCCTCTGACTTAGCCAAAGAAAATTAGAATACCACTGGGTCTTGATTTTTTTCTCTGTTTGTGTTTCTTTCTTTCTTTCCTTGTATATTGGCAAGGTTGGCTCAGACTTAGTCGATGGCAAAACGATGTCTTCATAATGTAGCTGGGTGAGTTGGTGCTACAGGAGAATCAGCAGGTAGAGGTGACACAGTAGCTGCTAGGTCAGCAGGTAGGGGTGACACAGCAGGATCGGTGGACTCCAAATTACTGATTAAAAAATAATTATAATTAATACAACTTGTCTGATTGGGACAGTGAATGGTGTAATTGCAATTTCACAAATTTTTAATCTAGTAAAATTTCATATTGTTAACAAATTTGCTTTGAAATCTTGGGTATTCAGTAATTATTTTAAATTTTTGATCTAAGATTGTTGATATAGAGGCCATGGCCATTAGATAGAGGCAGAGTTCAATTGCATTACCTTGCCCCTGTGAGTACATGTATGATGTTTGAATCTAGTGAGTAGAGGGATTAGCTTTACTTTTTAGAATGGCTCTGAGTTTTTCAAGTTCAAACTTTCAGCTCTGTCATCTCTTGACCAATTTCAGATCTAATTACAGTTTTGGACTCAGGATGTCAAGCCCTTTCAATTGGTGTATTTGACCATGCCCAAGGTCTCGTAGATTAACTTACTCCAATTCTGCCTAAAAGGATTTCAATTTGAGGGTAGACTGGTCGAGATTCTGGTGAGTAATAAAACTGAATTGGATATACGTGTGTCCCAAGCTTGGTATTGCTGGCACAAAAAAATGTACTAATAAAAAGGAGTTAAAAAGGTCTTGTAGATTAATTTACTGTAATCCTAATGTGTTATATACCTTCCATACTCTGTTCCACAAGTCTTACTCCCTTTGTTTCCTGACTGCTATTTCCTTTGCTACACACAGGCAGCTTGTGAGGGTAACAGGTCCTTTTCTCTTGCTTTTTCTTCTGTCTTTTTTTTTTT